GATGTTCCATCAATTTCAATAGCATTCTCTTAAACCTCTTATAGAGTTTCTATAGAATTCCGTCAACTATTTTGCTAATGGTGAGACCTGTATTTATAATAATTCACTCAGAGTGCATCGGCATACAGTACTTATGTTGCAGAACTGAGTCATTGTATATCTTGCCGGCCTAAATGTTAGTTCATCGTCTACTACATCGTCTAATGAATCGACAGACCATTAGCAAAATAATGTATTGAATTTCTACTGAAATAATTCTATTTAGGTTTATGGATCTTATTGATATTATAGAATAACTACAGGTTTCATAATTAATAGCTACGTTTATAATATTTAATTTTACTGGGTTTTATTAAGAATGCTACAACTAATAACCTATAGAATTCTACCGATTTTCTATAGTATTCTAAACCTCGAAAGAGTTCTTATATAATTCTATAAACTACTTTTCTAAGGGAATGTTCTGTAGAAATCATAATCAACCAGTGTGCTTCTGCATACTTAATTGCACAGCTGGATTATCATGCCTGTTTTTAAAATTCGATTGTTCTATTAATAATTATGTTTAAATTTACGTAAACAATCACATTCAAATATTTATAAAGCCTTCGATTGTGCGATTCCCGTTCTCGTTCGGCTTTAAATAGGACACGATAAATTTAGGTTTTCACCCTACAATTTATCTTTCATTGATAACAAAAGTTAGTAGATCTGTGGAGAAAAAAATATGAAATTTTAACCAAGTAGTTATCAAAGCATACATGTATAACTTCTTGATTTCATCATGCGTTAGGTCTTACTATGTTTGATGCTTGGATATACGTCTTGATGAGGAGGATAACAAGGCGTGAACGTCAAGAGACTCCAGTGGACATAATTTAGATAATTTTGTTTTAAATATTTGAAATTCGTAACACACTGGCAGATTACATTAATACAATTTAAAGAATGGAATCCATCATCTGTAAATAAAATTAAAAACAACATAAACGACGAATCTGACTTAACAACTTTGCTGCAAATAATGCGGAGTGTGCTGGCTGATTTGGCTAATTGAGTTTTTGCTGTCCCATACAGACACCGAATTACAAAGTAAAAACGAATTTATTTAATAATTTTAACAATATTTTTATTAGGGTAACGCTGCCGGAGCCGATATTTACACAGAAAATAACAATTTATGGGCCATTTTTTTTTTATACTTTTTTTTTTATTCTTACATTGTTGATACGAAATTATAAAATACACGCTCAAACAAAGCTTGAACCGTAGGACTTAGAGCACTGAGCTCACGTGTCCCTCTTGTAACATCTTGGAAAACTCCTTTGTTACATAGGCCTATGTGCGAAATTTAAGATGGTGGTCAGACCAGCTCTGCTCTCTCTCAAACTTTAAATAATTTACTGGCGAAACTGTGCTGTCTATTTTTTTTCTTTGGAAGCAAAATTTGGTATTGCATGTTTAATTCACTTTGCAGCCACATAAGCGTCAATATTAATCTGTTATATATAGCATGGTTAAAAATATAGGCCTAGAAGGGTAAGAATTACCATGACAGGAGTATGAAAACCGAAATCAAACGGACAAGGAATTAGACCTTCCAAACCTATTTGTTGCACTATTGGTGTCTATTTTTTGCATTAATATCGCCTAAATACCAGGTTATTTTAATATATTGCAGTGATTATTACTGTCGCACAATTCTAACCTTAAAGACGGGCAAACTCGAGTTATAACGGATAAAATATAGAATGTTAATAAAACTGTTGGTAATATTTCGGATAGTAATTGGATATCAAAAGTTTAGTTCCACATTTGTATTCTAAAATACATAGAACTAATTATAGGCCCCACATGTCGTGGTGGACATCAGTACTGGTGAACACGTGTGAACCCGTCCATCTTTTCAGTTCTATCAGTTCCGCTACAATTTCGGACCCTTTTTCGGTTTTTATCAGTTCCGTTAAAATTTCGGAACCTATTGAAATCATTTTCCCCCCATACATTACTTTCTGTCTTTTATTGTTCAAATAGAAGTAGCTATACTTACTTAAATTACAGATGGCCACTGTCATCCCCATCAGATCACACCCTCCTCCACCGCCGACACTTAAAACGGGAATGAAGGTGAACGCTGTTTGTCACGTTTACCCCGCTTAATTACACGATTACCTATATTTAAATTAATTAGGTTACACTCACTATCAGCTTATCAGCTGGATTCCAATATTTAAATTGGTTCTTTTCGATTGTTCGGAAAAAATACCCACATAATTAGCCATTATATGCCTATAAATGGTCTTTGTTTTTGTCTGTTTCTCTTTTTGAGCAGTGCCCTCTTTCACATTATTTTCTTTTTAATGAAATCTGGTTGTTTAATTTTATCATTTGTTATTATATCGTGTGAAGAAATAAACTCTTTTCTGTATCCAATGTTGGTTATGTTATATTACTGTATATTAAAATTTACAATATGATTTTTCCAGTGGAAAATGGCCAATCATCCTTATATATTAAGGTCGAGTCAGTGTCCGAAATTTTATGAACTGTAATAATAATAATAATCTAATATGAATGATTATCTTGTTTTATTTATCATTATTATCAACATTCTTCCTTTACTGTAGTTTTCAAAACACCCTCACATATTTTTAAGTCATTCATAAATGTTTATTTGTATTTGATTTACTCTAAGTAATGAAGATTTAATGTTAATAATGTCGTTATTGAGTTATTAGTATTTAACAAGTCAGAATATGTGAATACCAGGGGTGGCGCCAGGATTTGCCCGACTGGGGAGGGGGGGGGCGATGTCCCCGACGAGGGGTCAGATTTCCCCGACGAAAGCAATGTGGGCGTGGTCGAGCTTTGATTAAAAGTTTTCGAAATCGGTCCGGGGGCGAAGCCCCCGAAAATTTTAACAGTTTAGGGGTTTCAAAAGGCTTATTTAACCGATTTTAGAGTCTACTATTATGTAGAAAATACATATAATCTTTTTTTCTTCCCGACGAATTGTGCTTTTTCTCCCCACGGGGGGGGGGGATGGCTGTGGCTCCGCCCCCCGCTGGCGCCCCCCTGGTGAATACAGGTCCAAATTACCAGGCTTCGTTGTAAAAGGGACATGTACTTTTATATCCTAATATTCTAGAAAATCGAAGAGTTATTCGAATAAATAAATAGGGAATGGAGAAGATACACATTTTTGAATAATAAACAAGAGCGACCGATCATCAGTCCGCGCGTTCCTCCACGCTTAAATACGGTAATACGGTTGAGTACTGCAGTAGTAACAAGAACAAGAACAAGATGCTCTTAACACTGCCTGTATTTTTGGCCCGGACACTTTATCTGCATTTACCTCTTTTCACTCTTTTCTGTATCCAATGTTGGTTATGTTATATTACTGTATATTAAAATTTACAATATGATTTTTCCAGTGGAAAATGGCCAATCATCCTTATATATTAAGGTCGAGTCAGTGTCCGAAATTTTATGAACTGTAATAATAATAATAATCTAATACAAATACGATTAAGTTACCTTCCCGTATTGAGTGGCTTGGAGCTTTCGGTACCACTGTGACACTTTCATTAACGGGGGAGCTACTCGATACTTGACCTATGAAATGTCGATTCCCAGTTGCCATCGGTTCATACTAGTTCCTTTTATCACGTTACAATAGGGAATTATTCATCAATGGTTCGATGGAGGAGCACGTACTAAAGCATAATTTAATTTTATTAAATAATTTGATATCATTAGATGCAGGTTGTACTTAATTTAATATTATACTTTACACATTAAAGGCCATAGGCCATTGAACTCATTCTCACGAAGAAATAATGTAGGCGTAACAATTTGTCACAAAGTCCACAGATTGCGTTTACAACTTGTAATAACATTTAATTAAAGTTAACTCTCAGATTTCCTTTCCTTTAACGTTCAAAATATATATAGGCATAGTTATATAATTACCGCTTTAACTTTTATCACTATATTATTGTAGCTAATGGTTATTAAAATAATAAAAAGGTAAGTCCTTAAATAGTAAAATGATGTTATCAGGGGCGGATCCAGAGATGTCCAAAAGGGGGGGAGGCCGAAAGTGGGGCCGAAATTTTGGCCGACCAAGACAACACTGAAATAGGAGGTCCTGGGCCATGTCCCCGCGAAATTTCTGTGTTTTAGACGCCCGAAAATAACATTTGAGGCGTTCTGGGCTTTTTCTTTTTCTTTCTTTTTTTCTTTTTTCCCATTTTTTTACCTCTCAAAGGGGAGGGGGGGGGGGGGGGGGGGGGGGGGGGGGGGGGGGCGAGGCCGGGCCGCCTCCCACCCCTCCCCCCTAAATCCGCCCCTGGTTATAATCGTATCAAGCATAGCTAGCCCTTCAACGGAAAGTTCCTTTTAAAACAATTGTACGACAAAAAGTGTCTCTGGCGCGATGCGAACCTGCAACCTTTCACTGACAGGGCGAGTGTCATATCCATTAGACCAAGGAGACCTATAGGATATACGTACAGATTTAACCCTATAGATAAGCTACAATAGCTTATATATCGCATCCTGGAAATCATAGTAAATAATATTCAAATTAGGTTAGCTATGTAACACCGTAAACATAATATAAACAAATGGATAAATAATAACAGTGCTCAAAAGAACAAGATGTTACTAATCGTATTATCCTTCAACAAAAACAGCGATATTTAACATTATTTCTCATACAAATGAATTAAAAGAAACTTTGCTCTTCAGCACCATAGAAAGAGGAGTTATTATATATCGACCTCTTGGCCTATATTATTTGATAGCTTTCAACACTGTAAATTAACTTTACCCAATTTTAAGATGAGTCAGTATACTAAATCCCAAACTACATTTTAATGTTATTGCAGATGTTATGTACTTATTATGTATGGGACATATTATACTGATTTGTATCATTTTCATCCAAACCTCTGTCCAGACTAGACGTACATTAAAACAGAATAACAGGTAACTATGCATAATAATATTATGCTTCTTATGCTGATTTTTATGAATGTGTTGATTGGTTGTCAATCAATGAACAGTTCATCAGTTCCAGCTCACATTTTGCCGGGTGTAGTCTTAGTTTCAAGATCGGGATCCTTCATTCGAATCGGTCCAGATGGTCAAGTCAACGGCACGTTACACTGCAACGATGATTATGGTAGGCCTATTTGTTATATCATATTTGTGGCGGTTTGATATTGTGAAAATTATATTTACTCTATACAGTTAGTTTATTCTATATAATGCTTGCTAAAATAATGCAAGAACAGGGTGTATCTATTTATCCGTGTCCGCCTGGTCAACGCGGTATTTGTGTTGTCAATTATTGTGACGTCAGACACGTTAAACAGAATGAAGGGGATTCAATCGCTACTAGCACCATCATATGTAATAGGAGGCAGTTACTTAACCCTCTTTTGTACGTGCCGCGAACAACGCTAGTTGAGAAACACATTGGCCTAGGTACATTACAACAGAGATCAATACAATAGGAATTTGAATCGAAAAGAAGACTTCTGAATAGATACTTTTAAATAATTTAATTAATGGAGTTTGTCTCTATACAGTAGGCCTAAGTTTGCTTATAAACCTATTGTCATTTACATCCATGACAATCTGTTCATGTAACCGCTGTTTTTATTGGTTTAATGCTTTTTTTTTTAAACAATAATAATAATTGTCTATTTATTTAGTGCATAATGTAAAATACCTTTATGCGCTTTACAGCAGAGAGTGGAATAAATTATTAAAAGTTTTACCTAAAAAATGAATAACAATAAATATAAATACAATATTTAATATGGTTATAATCTTTATTGAACCAATTGTGATACTTCACCATTGAAAAACAATGCCGTATTTATTGAAATAAACGTCCCAGGGCGTTTATTGTTGAGAATTGAAGGGTTTTTTGAGGGGGAATTTATTCGAGAGGCGTTTATTCTTTTCCCGGATTTCCTTCTCCAGGATTTAAAAAAAAAAAGTAATTATACTGTTGAGAATGATGTTGCTTCCATTACATTTGCTTACAGTCATTTAGGAGGAGGGGGTTTATTCGAGGATGAAAATAAACGTCCAGGGGCTTAAATTCGAGGGAGGCGTTTATTCCAAATGAGATTCTGGTGGGGAAGTTTATTCAAAGCGGGGCATTATTCGAATATATGGTGGTTTATTTCTATTTCTTCCCATGCAGCAACAGTGCGGTCCAATGCTTGATAAAACTTTGTAGTGCCTCATGCATGGAGCCACATTTCTTAGCTCATGATTATCACGTCATCAAAATCATCATAATATCACCATCATTATAATCATCATCATTAATCTTGCAGCTCGTTTAGAAATTCAAGCCGTCGCTCCCGGATTAGTTTACATCAAAGGAATTCAGAGCGGACTAATGTTGGCGATGGCTGGCAAACGAAACGTCTTGGCTAGAAAAGTAAGATTTCTAATCTTGGTGGTGCGAGAAAATTAATAGGCAAGACATTTACTGTATTACTAAATAGGAACCCATTTTGTTAAAGCATTCAGAATCTTCTACATTTTAACATTAATGTTTATAGAAATGCCAAAAAATGTAATGTGGAATATAGCATTTCCATGGTTTCTTCACAGAATATCTTGCCAGCAATACTTCATCCAGACAACAGAGACATCCTGTGGCGTGAAGAAGCTCTGCTTGGAACATGCTTCAAGACATACAAATCGTTTCTTGAAAAGAATGATTTAAAAAGGCTCAGCAGGTACCTTGCCTTGAATGCAAGTGGAAGACCAGCGGTCTCAACATCAAAATATGTATCTAGGTCTCACTTTCTAAAAATGAACTAGGCCGATTTAATTTATTCAAATAGTAAACATACTGTATACGATTATCATGGCCCCTTTCAGTATTGTGTGCCTTTCCGTAAAATCGCTACAGTGCCCCAAACGTTTTCACTGCAATTGACCTTTTTTAAGTGTCAATAAAACTAGGCCTATTGGCCAATCAGAACAAGCGTGCCCGGCGCCCACACACGTGTTTAGGAGCGGTTACGTTGTCGTTTGTCCCGACGCAATCAGGAAATCTCACCCAATTAATCTGCATCAACGAAGATGTCGGCTTTAGCGTGTAGCGATTTTGTGGAAACCAAGCTTTACTTGCATGCATCGTGGTTCGGTTGATAATTTTGTTTTTATCTGAAGTGACTGCACGACCCATCAAAATTTCTTCGTGACACAAACATTGGGTCGCAACCCATAGTTTGTAGAAGGGAGGTATAGATAATTTGTGCTGTTTTGCAAACTGTTTTTGAAGAACCTCATTTGATATCATAGAGACTGTATATGCACAGTTTAAATTTACCTTTAAAATTGGTGTTTGGAATAAAGAATAAAATAAAGAATAAAGGATACGTCCGAAATAAAAGTTGATTGTCTGTGTGATCATGGCCCTCCTGATGTGGACAAAACCCCGACAAAGTAGCAGTCGAAAGTACTCATGGTCAATGGTCAAGTACTGTATTAATGTAGCGCCTTCCACAGAACAAAACTGTCTCAAGGCGCTTTTAAGCCACAAAAAAAAAAAAAAATGAAATATCCTAAACTAATTTGGAAGCCAAATATGCGTGATCCAATGTACCCTGTAGCTGGCGTCCCATTAAGGACTAAGGAGTATAATCACCACCAGATGCTGGCTGATGTGATTAAACAAAATCAATGTTGCAGTTCATATATCAAATCAAGGAGAAAGTAAAGGACACAGATTCTGGACATGTCAAAAGTTTACCCCGATATTGAACTAAATGTAGGTATTTTAAAAATAATTATTGGAAAGGTTTGAATAGCAGTCCTGACTCCATTCAAAATATTTTTTAAAAATGTGAGGGTCTCAGATTAAGTTAATAATAACATATGTCGGAATGACTTAGGCTTGCAAGAAGGGGAATACAAAAACTAGTGAGTTCTATAGGAAGAGGTGCAAGGTATGCAAGGACGAATGGGACAAAATACTGTGAAACCTCAATTGAAGCTCTGGGCTACTGTATAAACCAAGGGTGCTTTTGAATTATTTTGTTCCTTTGAAATTAATATACAGGGTATGTATTGTGCTATCTCAAGATTGGCTACTTTGCGAGGCTACTTTTACAAACTAAAGAGGGGGCTTCAATTCGAGATGGGCTTCTTCTCGAGATTAAGCTCATCGGGCTTCTATTCGAGGTCTTACGGTATGGGTCCAAGTTTGAAAAGCAAATACGTAGGCGTTGAGGGCGTAACCATATTTCAAAGTTCTCTAGACGATACTCATCAACTAAATCAGCCATTATTGTATTAGATCAAGTTGTTATTAGAAAACCACTACAGTATAATGTGCTTTGTAAGGTTTAAATCGTGGACATGATTACAAACTTGAGCTTAAAAGACAAACAATAAAAAAAAATCAATGAATGAATCTGATACTCTTGCAGGGGAAAAATAGAGGACAACACAGAAGGCAAGAAAAATCCAGACTTGAAAAGTGTCGAAAAATACTTAGAAATTGCTTTAAGCAATTCCAGTCTGACCTAGATTATCTATTACAGTTTGCCTAGACTATTACACTACACCTATCCAGAAGCATTCAATAAACCATGTTACTACAGTATACTGCCCTCATACCAATTTAAAAAAAAGGGAAAAAAAATGTTTACAGCATTTCTGTTCATTATAACACATGAAGCCACATTCCTATTTAAGTGTGAAAGTTCCTGGTATTTAAGCCGATTCTCTTCTAATCTCATTCACTTGTAATCTCCCTCTACTTTCAAACATCGGAATGCAAATCAAATTGGCATTTCTTCATCATTTTAAAAATATTTTTAATTTCTTTTTTTTTTTTTTTTTTTGGTGAATTGTCCCCACTAAGCTTCAACCCTGTTCATTGGGCTTTCAATGGGTATAACAATAACACAGTCTTTACTTTCACAATTAATCTATTTTGGGACATTTTTTTCTTAACTATATAAAGTGCAGAGAGATAATGTTGCTGGGTTAAACCATTGTCATAGCGGGGGTCTGGCTGCTGTGCACTGATCCGCAAACCCTCATACACGGTCAATTTTCCTGGCAACTGCACACTGATAGCATTATACAACATTGGAACAATCACAGTTTAGGAACTCATCATTCAGTATCTTCCTTTATTTGTAATTCTGGCAACTCCTCTTGCTTGGACTCATTATTAGGCTGCAAAAGAGAGAGAGAAAAAAAAAACTCCTGTTAAAAAAATAAGAAATACACACAAGCCTCAAGCAATGCATGGGTTTGTGTATTTTAATACAAAGTGGGTACTTTCGCTAAAACCAAAACACAATTACAACAGTTATGTATGCACAGACAATTACTGAAAACAGTCCAGTAAAGATTTATTGACTATAAAAAATTATTGGATTCTCTGTCGGATAGAAAATTCCTCTGTGCTCTGCGTGAGTGGAGAAGTCTTTAAACTCAGCTCAGTCCCACCATGGCTGGTGCTAGGTAAGCAATTTTAAGAATAAGCACTTCCAGATGCCCGGAAATGGCTCTCCAATACTCTAACAATGATTTTTCAATGCACTGTTCGCGAGGAATTGGTTTCTCGTTGGGAATCTGGCGGTGACCTGCTGACTCAATAGGTACTTTACGCAAGAGGGCGGGGAGCCATCGAGAACGGCAATTCGGATTGCGCACCTTATTGTTTACTGTGCTTTTACGCTCTGATTAGCACCAAACCACCGTCCACCCGTCTTCCCGTCCTGTTGTGTAAAGTGCCTACTATAAGTGCACTTGAGTCAATTCAACAAAGATAAAACTATTAAAATGTTTTAAAAAAGTCTTTTAAACGTTATATTCAAATGTTAGCAACTCAGTAAGCCTACTACTCTGTTACGAATGTATACATTGTTTTTTTGCACATTTGTTCTCTTGAGCAGCATTTCTTTCGTTAACTTACCATTTAAAAAATTTAATACCGTACTGTAATATAACATAAAGCACAACAAAGTTTTCCTAAATCTGACAAATGAATACAACAGCAACCACTAAATCATGCAACAAACCATTACAACAATCACCAGGAATGCAAATTACAACAAACTGGAGTTAGGGTACCCAAGACCCAGTACCAAGAGAACTTATACCAGGTGGTACTTTTGTACCATTTGAACATGCGGGTACCACAGAAGGACAATACACCAAGAGACCCTGTACTAAGGTAGTATCCCTGTACCATTGAGTATTGCAGTTATCATTTTGTAGAGACAAAAAATTACCAAAATGGCAATTTACCAATAGAGTAGGTTCTAGATGATATTACCCAACCAGCTACCATCACATCAAGTCATGAATATACATGCATTATTTACAGAATCATTTGAACATGCACCAGGGGATAAATGTACACAAAGACAAGTAGTAGCACAAATTAAATATCGAGGGTTGACCACTTGGCCATTGATCAAGTGTGCGATGCACAAAGAAAAATCCATTTGTCGGGGGGTTCCTTGCTAATTGGTTTACACACAAGTCCATAATACACCACAATTTTGCCATGCACCAAATGTCAACGTAAAAAGCTGCATAACATGAGCAGTACTGGTAGCCAACGTATACAGATAAAAAAAAATATCGATAAGAGACTTATACAATGTAGCATAAGGGCAAGACAGAAAAACAAAATCATATGCTAATTGTATAAGCATTACAACTGTAATGTTTGTAGCAAACAGAAAGGTTTATATTTCAAAGCAAGAAGAAAAAATATATTTATAATCAGATATAGAATGTTATCTTGATTAACTGAGTGTTACAGTAGAAAAAAGCAACACGTAGCAGAAGGCTTTTAGTTACCTCATTATACCTCTACTTGCTACTTCAGAATTAGTTAGATGTTTGCTGTGAAGCAAATTCAAAAAGAGCAATAAAAACAATAATCTTATTTCTAATGTATTGATTTAGAGCAGGATTTGAACCACAACAATCGCATTTAGAGAATTATATTATTTGGAATTTCTGCTGGGCTAGATTTAGCTTTTACTTAGTGCAACAGCAACCCTTATAGCTGCAATTTGTAGATTTTGTTCATGCTTCATTAAAATTGTTTATTCACTTCTTTTCCATTCATTTTTTTTTACTGTTTTGTAAAATTTACATGCAATTTAACTTTGTATCTATTGATTTCGGTTGCAATCATATTTCAAGGAACTAATGACACATAGTGAAAAGGTAATCTATTAATATTAAATTTATAATACAGTATTTTACTACTGTATTTTTTTATTATCGATCTTTATCACTATAATCAATTTCTAATTAATTTCAAATTATATCTAATAAACTTAGTTGAGAATTCTGAAGCACAATTTTAAATATTAGTATTAAGCTCCAACCAGGCTATCAAGTTTTACGAGACAAATACCTGTAATTTTCCCATATATGGATGTGATATGACATCATCACGCCCAAATATGGATGTGATATGCCATCATCATGTACACACATACTTGTCACATAAGACTTGATAGTATGACCTGAGGCTAAAAGTTTCCAAAGAGCAAGTATCACTAAGCATGACCAAAGAAATTAAAAGCATTTGTTAAGAAGCTTGTTAACAGAAGCTAACCTCTTCTGAGGCCGGTTTATCAGCATCATCTTGCTTCTCTTCAGTAGCAGCTATGTAGCAGAAAAAATACATAAAATGATGAGTCGTCGATATATGTGTACACATGCTTGAGATGCAACTACAGTACTAGTATACACTGATAGATTATAATCAATGTGCATAATACTGATGAGTCAAGTGGCGGCAAATGGGGGAGGGGGGCCATAGAGACAATTTCCCACATCACTCATAGACCCCTGTTATTGTGAGTGATAGTAATATTGATAAGCTAAGAACTGTCACTCATTTATGAGCAGATTATTGAAAGTTAAGAACTGTTCACTAATTTATGAGCACAATATTGAGGAGTCAAGAACTTTCACTCATTTATGAGCATAGTATTGAAAACTTAACTATTCACTAAATTATGAGCACAATACTAATGATTCAAGAACAGTTGCTCATTTTAGAGCACAATACTGATGTCTCAAGAACTGTTGTTCATTTATGAGCACAATACATATAAGTAAAGAACTGTCAATTGTTACTGAGATACTGATGAGCCAAGAAGTCACTCATTTATGAGCATAATACCGATGAGTCAAGAAGTGTTGCTCATTATGAGTACAATACTGAGGAGTCAAGAACTGTCACTTGTTAATGAGATAATACTGATAAGTCAAGAAGTCACTAATCTATGAGCATAATACTGATGAATCAAAAACTCACTAATCTATGAGCACAATAATGATGAGTTACGAGCTGCCAAATTTATGAGCACAATACTGAGTCCCAAAGGTCTAGTGGGTACAACCAGATCTGTGTATAATACTGATTAATCTATTGTGTACAATACTGATGAATGGTCACTGTGTCCACAATTCCAATGGGATACTGATTCAAGGTTACAATACTGATGGGCACATTGCAAATTCATGTGAACTATACTAATGGTTCAACAACAGAATAAAATGCACAATTGATAATGTCAGTTCCATGTGTAAAATACTGATGGGTTAAATACTACCACTAATTCAAGTGGATAGTACTGATTTTAGTTAGCTGTTAAATTTAAGTGTTATATATTAGAACACATGAAGAAGGGATCATTCAGCTAAACCTAGTCTCTTCAATATTGTTGGTAAAGTCTCAGAAAACCACTATGTAAGTGTATATAAAGTTGTGTGCGGAACGTGCATGTATTCCCATCCCTGTTCTGATTGGCCAATCATCAAAACTGAATGACACTCCAGAAAGATCCATTACATAAGTTATTCTCTATACAATAACTATTAGCATTACATTTTCTAATACCTAACTGTACAGTACATTAGTTTAGATATAACAAACAGCTGATGCAAAAAGGTTACCAATCGTTACATACCTTCCTCGGTTTTATCTTGCCTGCAAAAAGAAAAAGAAAAAAATTGTTATTTAACATGAAATAAATACTTGACATATGAAGTAAGCCTAATATTTATCAGCAAGTTGATTGGTCAATTGAGTCACATGGCAACTTACACAGGATAATCTTTGACCTCATCTACAGTGATGTCAGGATTCTCTTCAGTATCTCCTTCCATGCTGACATCAATGCCACTCTTTGCCAACAGCTGGTTCACTTCTGCTACCAATTCTACAAGAGAAAAGAAAAACATTTCATCAAGAAAAACACAATCAGAATCTTTCTACAGTATAGGAGTTTTCCCCTTTGAAGTAGGACCCAAGTGAAATTTTTTCTTGATTTTGAGTACCTTCTAAACTTTTTATCTGACTGTACCTGAAATAAAATGTTTTCAACATAAAATAATGGTATAATAATGCAGTAAGAAAAGGATTTCACAAAATGCAAGGTTTCCTTGGTGAATCCAATCCAACACAGATGTTGTACAGGAGCATGTATGCAAATCAACTATCATATTGTAATTCCTTCATGAGATTGACAAATATAACATTTAGAAACCAAATTCAGCTTTACACTTTCTACTTAACTTAAAACTAACATGCTTTAAAAATAATGTGATAATGTGGCATGCTTCAAACATAACATGCATGACAACAATGGTAATGACTATGAATGAGATACTTAAAATTGCCAAAATTTCCATATAACACCCCTTGAAAAAAATAGCATCATCCATCCGTACCAGTGCACCACTTTAGAAAACCCGACACCATGTTGTGCTCCTTATTTTTTATAGTGCATTGGGTTGGATTCTATTTTATTTATTACAGGGTGTTAACCAATAAAAAACATTCATTATTGTTTGGTAAGTGTTCATTCATAGACAAAAAATGCAAAATTTTAATTAAGCATGCTTTTAATGTAGCATGCTACAGAATATGAATAGTGCATTATTCAAATCTTGGTTTAGAGTACGGTGTTACCATGCTACACATTATCAGTATGCCACTGTGCTACAACAAAGAACATGCTGTAGCAACATTCATGACATCTGTGGCATGCAATTGACAGACTAGGAAGCAAGCAACTGTAACTGTGCCACTACAATGTTAAACAGTGCCAAACTATACAGTTAATGTTCATACAACAGCCAGCAAAATGATTCTTAAATCAATCAGATACAAAGTTTAGTACTGAGAAACACCTCCATAAATAAAGGTCGAGAGATAGATTGAGAAAAACATTTTCTCAAAATCTATTTATAATATTATAGTCATAAGCAATAGTGGGAGTTTATAGACTTGGTAGTGTTGGTGAAAACTTGCACCCATTTTTGTGTTTCTAAAGGAAGCAACACCCAATGAATAATTGTTCATCTTCCAAAAAGCAAATAATAATATTCATTAAGACAAATATATTTTTTATCAGATGAACCAAATACTGTACTCATGCTAGATTAGGACATAGGAAATACTGATGCAGAAACAAAACACAGTATGTCAACAAAGCAGAGGGAAACTTATAAAACAGAATTTTTAGAAATGATGAGGATACAGGCTTCAACCAATCAGGACGGAATGAAAAGAGAGTGGCCTGAAGTTCAAAGCCAATCAACAAATCAACAACTGTACGATGATCACAGGGAATGGTAACAAGGCCAATATTATAGGATGCAGACAGGACTGAGTATTAGAGTAGGAACAAGAACAAGGAATAGATGTAATGATAATCATGGTTCAACCATGGAGTGGTTCAACACATTGACCAATGAAGTTTACAGTTGCGGACCCAGCACTGAACTGGAATTCTTTGGCGTGAAATCAGTAAATATCTCTAATTAAGCGTGAAATTGTTTAGATAAGGGATAAAACCTCCGGGTACTACTATTTCTGGATCCCCCACATAGAATAAGGTAAATCCCAACCCATCACACTCCAGTCTTAGTTCCTCAATCGGTGCTTCAAGGGGGCCTCCTCCCTAAGGAATATTATGGGTATGTCTCTTCCATTTAATATAACTGAGTACACCACAACATTTGTGAACTAATTATGCTGGTGTCTCAAAATAGACTAGCAAAAGGAGTGACGAAAACAGAGGGACTGAAAGAAGCGGGTTGTGGATTAAAATACAATGATAGTACTGTATACGGGAAAAGAGGATGATCAATATTATACTGAAGTTCAATGACGAATAGGAAATCGAAAACCAACATAATAAATTATGAGAATTAACTTGGCAGAACATTACAAGGGGAAAGAAGGCATTATTATAAATTTATTTCCACTAGTTAAGGCAAGACTTCTCAATACATTGCTCAGCACTACTCTATTATTTATAATATCATCAGGAGGTTAAAAAAGATACAGTATTTTTTTTCTTATCCAAATAGTTCTGCCAAGAGCATCTAGACAAAGTAAAACATGAAAAATTATAAGTTATTGACAATTTATGGTAGAGGACATGAAAAATATAATTTTAAGAAATTGTTCCTGCATTTTTTCATTTTGGCAAGTGTGCTAAAAAACCATAAATAATTTAACTCTTATTAGAATTCATCAATATTGGTGGATCACAGGTTCACTAAACAAGGTATAAAAAAGTCCTGCCTAACTTCCACATGCTAAATATTAAATAACTTATTTGAACGTTCTTTATGTCAACAATTTTTATCATACTTCTCGAAATAAATTAATCTTTCATCTTCATTTACAAATGGTGTTCCATATTGATTAGTATTTCATTATTATATAAGTGCAATTATTATATCAATATGGTGAACGTGACAAGTTTGATAGACGCATCCGAAAGCGAAATTTGTTAGGCTACAGATACACAGGTTAATCGGCTCCGTCTTAAGGCGGCCATAAAAAAGCATATCAAATAAAGTAAAAAAACATGGATACACGGATAAACAAATGTGGATAAAGAATCTGCATGAAAGCTATGAGAATGGAGTGAGAGTTAGGAGCAGGAAGAGCATTTAACATGTCACCTAAAGGATCGCCTTCGTCTGCGGCGGGCTCGTCAGTGTTAATTTGATTCTTTTCAAGCAACAATGCCACCTCTTTTACTAATTCTGTGAAAAGAAAATTATGGAACAAAAAAAACAAAAAAAACATGAGTGATACCCGCATTGCAAGCAAAGGGAAAAATGTGAGATAAATTGTGCATGATGTCCAAATTGCCACAAACTTGCTTTCAGCTTTTGGGGAAGGAGAGGGCGGAAAAGCTAACAAAGCATTTTTTATACCATCCAGAGTGAATTTTTAAATGATGACTTATAATTTCATAAACCTGCAAATGAACAATGCATGCATTAATAGTTGTGTATATGTTTTGTACGTTGTGCTTAAATGTGTGTCAGTGGTGAATCCAGGAATTTGAAATACAGTGAAGAGGGCCCAGGGAGGGAATTTTACAGACTACCTCAGCTCCACTTTTAGCTAGGCTGAGGTACGAATGTTTATGACTATGGCACCTCTAGATGACCGGAAATGACGCAGTTTTAAATTAGGCCAACCTTGAATCCTCCCCTCCTTCTTGCATGTGTGTGTATATGCATAAGTCAGTGTAAGTACACTAAATTGAAAAATTGAGAATATATATTCAATATAAAAAGACATTTAGAGAGCAGTATGTTATTTTGGATTGCAGAGATCTATGATGCAAACTGAGTTTGTATTCTAGTTATGAATCTGAAGGTAGTACAGGATAAGCAGGGTGGATGAATGCCATGGTCACCTTAGTTTAGATTACTTATGCAGAGTGTTCACTTACCATCAGCTGACTGCTCTTTTGCATCATCACTTGCTGCCACATCTCCAGCAGTGATCTCTGCGGTCTCTTCTTTCTTTTCTTCAACTTCCTCTTTCTTTTCCTCTTCCTTTGCTGGCTCTTCCGGTTTCTCTTCAGTTGTTTCAGGTGCTGCAGCATCAGCCGGTGCTTCAGTTTCTGTAGCTTCTGCTGCAGCTGGTTCTGGTTCTGCAGCGGCAGCTGCAGCAGCAGCTGGTTCAGGCTCTGGTTCTGGTTCCGGTTCTACGGGTTTTGGCCTCATGCCCTCTGGTAGCTCCAACATGCACATTGGTTGAGTTGTATTACGGACAGATAAAGAGAACCTTAAAATGTAAACAAACAGTACAAGACCTTACTGTAGGTATTATAATTGATGATCTTCATTGGCATTCTATCCGAAGACCTTACACTCCCATTTACTACTTCCTATAAATAGGTTAGTAGTAGTAGTATTAGTATCTAGGATATCAATAAAAATAAATTATTCTTGATAAATAATCAAGATATACTTGTATGAATTTAAATGCTTTTTTAAATTTCACTATAGTATCCTTCGTCCTCATCAGTGACTCACCTTTCAAATTCTGACGGTGATAGTAGGTAGAACCCTTCGCCCTTGGATGTAAACGCGAGTGATGATATGCCTTGTACGTTGCCTTTACTGATGGCGCTGCAAACACATTGCTTCCTCAGGTATGGAATACTCAGCACAAATAAATCACCCAAATTGGTTAAACATGTCACACAGTTCTCAGAAACATTGTCATCTGCAGAAAAAAAATGTTTTAAAATTTAATCTATTTAGTATATTTAGTTGATTACAGTACTTTTTTTTCATGACTAAAGAAAAACCAATGTAATGTCAAAATGAATTACACATTTGACAAAATATATGAGTATTATTATGTAAATGATTGATTAAAATTAATCACAGGTTTCCACAGTAATTCATATTTTCATCTTGCCTTTGGCCAAATTTAAAGCAAATTAGACTAACCAAACTCCTGGCTGAGGTTATAATGATAAATTTACCAACATGAAGGAACAAAAACAAATACAACCGCCTCTTCTAAGGTTTTGTACACTGGAGAGGCTAAAAAAAATGAACTTGGACTATCTGCCAGATAAAATTCATAGATGTAAATCCATTGCTAATGATGCATTTCAATTAATTCATAGCAATTATTAAAACATCTTTTAAATCTCTCATGTCAACCTGATTAAAATCTTTTGAAAGGAAACACCTGCACATCGCAGCATGAATTCAAAGACGATACATCATACTGATGCTATCATATAAACGCACCCTTTATGCTCCTGAAATTGATGAATGCCACTTTGCGTACTTTAGCCCCATCGACTGCAGTCAATTTGAATTTCTGCACAGGCCTCAATTTGGGCAGAGAAAACACCTGCAAGGCGAAGAGAATTAATCAGACCATTAAAGATAAGCAACATTACATTGAGTTTCTAAGGAGCTACAACATTGTTAATGACATTATATTGATGCGTAAATTGCCCAGAGTAAGTGATTGTGAGTATTCCGGTGCATTAAATGTGTATCATTAGCAATACTTGTTGTACATAAACATGTTTCTAGCCTGCTTACTAAGGATGTTATAAATTGAGCATATTGCCATTAAGTGTTATTTGAATACACCTTAATGTATCTTCCAACATTGTAGGAAGTAAAATAAATTAATGCTTGATATACTGTAAATAACCTAATTTTTATGATCATTTTTACAGTCTCTAAGAATTTATTTGTGAAGATGAAACGATCGTAACGTTTGGTTTTGTCAGCATTAACCAGCTTTCAAAGACAGGGTGACACTTTATATATCCTTGTCCACTGCAGGATTTTGAAGAAAACTGAAATTTTTTTTTGGTCTGTTTGCACACTCATTACTTTGAAAAAATGGAAATCTTAGAAACCATTTTTTTAAAATGAAATTAAGGGAACACTTTTCTTTGGTTCTGCAGGTGTACCTTTAATAGGAGTTCTACTATGAAAAGAATTAATTTGTCTGGACCTCTCTAACTATGAAATTTAAGGGTTTTAGAAATCTCTAAAATTTATATTTTAAAATATTAAAAATTTAGGAGTTTATAGTATATATTACACACCCTAGTTGTAACAGCAATCCTTTACATTTTTAAAGTTTGACTCATACCTTGAATTGTTCCTCTGAGCAGATCAGCAAACTGTTCTTTGCCATATTAGCTGGTTTGGCTCTTTCATTCTTAACATCTATAGGATCAGGTAATGGATAGGCATCATCATCCACCACAACCAATGATACAACCGGGGCTCCGTGCTTCAACTTAATTTCTTTGCCTGTAAAAAAATATAGATTATAAATACATAATTAAAAAGGAATAGTAAACCCAATTTTTTTTTTTTACACTGAGTTTGATGTGGCTATATATTTTTGTGAAATATGTGCAACATGAATGTCAAAAAAATACAAAACTTACAGATTTCAGCTGTGACCTCTGTACTCTCTCGTTTCTCTTCTTCAGGCACTTCTAAGGTGAAGATATAGACATGTCCAGCATTGCTGCCAACCCACAAGGTGTCATTGGCAGACTCACTGTCACGGATGAATGTTTTGGTGAAGTAGAGGCACCGTACCATACTGGTCATTGAATCATCAGTCCCTCTTGCTTCAATCTTGCGCTCTGCTGCTGCTACTTCTTCCTGCTTAGGGGACGCATCCTCCTTCTTTGGTTCTGGGGTAGCCGGCTTAAAAATACAAACAGAAATGAAATCATGAAAAAATGGGTTGGATTTATTCAGTGTTTGAAAAAATAAACATAAAGGATAGGCCATGAATGCCTGAAGATTATATTCAAGCGGTTCCTTCTGATGGTGATTGGCCAGTACCCTGGGAGACAATTGCCTACTATTTTCTGAGGGTGTACTACTGGGTTCTTTAAAATACATATGGGCAATATTACAGATGGGACAAACAGCTTTAGCGTCTCATCTTAAAAAAAGGCACACTATTCTCCAGCCCTCCAGCTGTAACACAAGGTGAACAGCAGATGGAATTAACCAGGTGCCAAAGGTAAACGATGGATCTCAATGGACAGTTCCACCAACATTGACTCTAACCAGTTAAGATAATTGAAACATGTTGCTTCATACAGATTATTAGGCTCAAAATGTTCTATGAGATAATTTGTCATCATGTCACAATAATTTACCTTGTCTGCTGGAGCATCCAGATCTGTGGTAGGCACACCGTCCTCTTCCTGTACTTTCTTGTCCTCTGCTTTTTTCTCTTCCCGTCGTTCACGGCTTTTACTATGCTTCTTGCCACGCCCTTTACGCATTCTCCTGATGGTGGCACGCAGCGACTTCTTCACAGACTTCCGCTTCGAGAGTTGCTCACCTGTTGCTGACAAATCTAAGGGGTTCAAAGTGCACTGGGTGGTAACCACTTTTCTGTGAGTATTGTCTACCAATGCGAATCCGTGACTAGTACCTATGGCAGTCACGCCCCATGTTGTTTGTACGGCGAGTGCGGTGATGGCTGCTGGGGGTGTGCACTGTGTGATGAAGACTGGTTGGAAACCGGCAGCTGAAGTAACAGGTTCCTCCTGTGCTGGTAGTTCTTCGTGTCCTTTCCATACAAATTTATCTTGTTCTCCTACAATCTGTACCTTACAAGTCTATGAAAAAAAAATGTTTAATTTAATTTCAATTTCATTTGTCATTCACTTAACTTATTGAAAAATTAATGTTGTATGCCAGTTAAGTTTTAAATATTCAAGAAATGTGTGATGATTTGACAAAATGGGGTTCCAATGTAGGTCACATTACATTTTACACTTATTACCTCAATCAGTTCAGTTTTCCCTTCGGTGCCCATTTTCATGTGGATAACCTGTCCAGCAGTACCTGCAACCACCAGCGTCCCACTCAATGAGCACAGACTCATCTTCTGGATACCAAGACGTGGGTCATCACTATAGGGGTCGAACACTCCAATCTAAAAAATTATATAAAATAATTAGTAGGAATTAAAAAAAATAATGGTATGTATATTAGAATGCTTGCGGTGGCTGTGGCCTTTCTCATTATTCATTGGAGTAGTTGCAGTTTCATTCTAAACCTTGGTTAATATTGCCACTAGTCATTTCTTAAAACATTGCAGGTAGTAATCTGTGCATAGCCATGAGAACCTACCCACTTTTACTCTTGGGTAGAGGGAGATAACCTGATTGACGTACCTTTTCCAAAAACAAAATGAAACCGCTCTACTAAGCCTAATACAAACAAATCGTCATTATTAGATTTGAACCAAACTGAATAAACCACAGCAATACTCACCAACAGATAGAAAAATAACAGGAGAAAAATAAATGGTACATTAAACAATAACCATGAATACCTTTCGGAATGGCGGCCACTCTTCCTCGCTGTCTGCTCCCGCTGATGGATCTACATGGTCAGCGTCCGTTATGAAGAACGGTGCCGTGCTCAGCTTGTATAAGAACCTCAAAGAGACGGTTGAGGCATCCCAGAACCGAATGGATCCATCTTCATGACCAGTCATCAGCAGGTCATGTTCCAGGGGGGCCTCAGCGAGGTTCTTACCACCATTCAGTGGCCATTCCTACAAGAAAATTTACAATATAATATTATAAAAATATAAAGAAATTCACAAGATGCTTTTGGCAGAATCAAGCATACATTAAGCTGTGGTAGGAATTATACAAACTGACTAAAACTAATCAAATATGTATTTGATCAAATATCAAATAGATCAAATATCAACAGATCAAATATGTATTATTCACTAGCCTCAAGATATTACCATATGTTAAGACATCACAGGCTGATTTACATACAAAAAACAATCAATCAATCAATTATTCAACATGTTTTATAAGGGTAATTAACCCTTCCAGCTCTAATAGACTCTAGGGTTAATACGAAATGAAACGGTATAAATTAAGGAATATCAAATATTGAATAATGTGAGACTGTCGCTAAATCTTAAACTGAGTAATTAGCATAAGAACATGGCAGTATTGTACATGTACAGTAAGTACAAACTTTGGTAATAGTAAGCAAATTCCATCATTTTAAAGCCTAAATTTCAATTTTTGGTTTTTGGTCACCGATGCTGTTTTTGGGATGGCAAGCCTCATATACATAATTTATGTGAACAAAAATAATAATTCAAAAGAAAACAAAAATCATGGCAGGATATTAATGCCATATATGATGGGTAAATAATAATTTATATTGTATAAAACAGAATATATATTTTTCGCTAAACCTGATGTATTATTGTACCGTATGCTTAGTATGCCCAACATACTTTTTCCTCACTTTGAGATTACTATGTCAAATTGGGCAAAAACATCATTCCTATTGAGTTTCCTTCCAAAATTAAACAGGTATGGGAAATAATGCTAGTAGGAACAAATGCCAGTAGGAAGAAATATGATTAGCAAAGGAATAATCCATTTCATAATAAGGGTGTTAATCATATTCATATGGCAATTACTGGTGTTCACAGTATAACTAAGAAAGTATGTTATTTCTTCATTGCATTAACTAGGCCTTAATAACTTATTTATAATGCTGTATTTATTTTACTAAATTTACCATAGAGCATCATTTAGTGAAGCATAAACATAAGATTAATCAAAAATATTACTATAACTATCATAAATTTTCAAATATTGCTTTTAATATTTACCCTCTGAGAACACTGAGATGCAAGTTGTTGTTCCCCAGCTGCTGATATCTTGTCCCACAATTCTGAAGGCACATTGCTAACATGGTGAGAGCATGTGATTGCTGAAGCATGGAGTGATGACAGGTATGGAAGGGTGAACGATGGCCATCTGTGAACAAATTGTGAAGTATTACTCTTTGAGATGTATTTTGCTTGGACTTTGAAAAGGTAGTAAACTTGTTTACTGCCAGGGGAATATGTTTAAATCATTGTTTTGGTCAATAATGTAAACATTATAATTACCACCAAAAGAGTATAGAATTTCAAGAGGTCTGACTGCCCTGAGTTTGTATGCACGTAATAGAACATTAAAAAAACCTACTGCCACGATATAGGGGGCGCCCTATTAGAATTGGAACATTCAAATAGTGTTTGCTTGTACCTTTAATACTTGTCTTTTAAGAACACACCCCTTCGTGGTAGTACTTAAAATAGGATTACATTCCAACGTAACCAAAACTCTTTTTTTTTTCCAGCAAGTTGAGAAATTTGACATAATACAATATGGCAGCTGTACGTAATATAAATTGTTCATTGAATACATTTTAACAAAATTTTGCATAATTAAAATATCTTTTACAATACGGTACAGGTAAGTTAACATCATGTCTATTTGTGAATACAGTATATGGTAGCAATGCTTTGTGCTTTTAATTGCATGGTTTTAAGGTCAAAGTTCACAAGACATTCTATGTTTGTCCCTTTTCATCCACAACCATGATATATTACTGTCTACTGTAGGATATTTGTTGTATTAAAGAATGTAGTAGTGTCTGTACTTGATTTACAGTTTAAAATCACTAGAGTACAGTAGGCTGCATGTTTCCAATTATAATAATTATAATAGAATAAAAATAATATTTTAATCACTACAAATCGTTAATGAGTCTGGTATTAATACCAAATCACACTTTATCTACATTTGTCTCGCTTCATCCATGAATAATAATTTATACCTTCTACTATAGGATGTGTTTCAATAGGGAATGATGTTGTGTCTATAGTTGATTTACAGTTTGTGGCCAGGAACAATCCCTTGAGTACAGGCCATTGCATGTTATTCATGGCTGTTTATGTATCCAATTATAATGATAATTAGTATTTTAATATACTGATGATAAAAATGATATATAACGTTAAATGAGTCAGTCAGAGCGCCATATTGTCTACTGTGGAGTGCATTATAACTATTGCTGATTTATACATTATAAGCACGGTGATCTTGACAAATACTAAGCAATATTAATTAATTGGTTATTTTGATCTCAATTATAGCTGTAATATACCATTTTGTGTAGTAAGCAAAAGTAATTATGTTTTGTATTTAAATATGAATGGAAAAATTATATATTTTTTTTATCAGATTTGCTATTAAAAAACAAATAATTTCACTTATTTTAGTGTAAGGCCAGCAGTTTATTATATTGGTTATGTTTACTTTACATTTAAAGGAATCACTCATGCAAATTGTGTGGAATATGCTGAAGGAAATTAGGTTTTGCATTTGAATAGGATTGGGAGACACAAAATGATTGTTCCCCAAAGTGCCAATCATCTGACCAAACGCACTTACCTACATATGTTAACGCTGGATTATTTGTGGGAAAATAAGTTATTAATATATTTAGGTAGATGACTACATAAGGTTTATTTTGGTCTTTGAATTAGGTTCCTAGGTTGAGTACAGCTGGTGTAAGATCATTTTCAAATTCAGAAATCTGAAATCATCGCCTCTAAAGAAACAACTGATGAATGTTGGGTTGGTTTTCCTATCAATTCTGAAAAAAAAGCTTTACAAAATGTGCCTCAAAAACACATTTACCTTAGGCAACTCAACTCAGAACATTTGCTACCATTAAACATCAGAAAAAAAGAAACCTTACTTTTGTCAAAATATCACTTCAGATAATTATATATTTTACAAAATATATCAAATTGACCTGGTGTACCAAAAGACACATTTTGTCACGACACCTCAAATATATGGGCATACATTAGTTTTTTTTTCAAAGAAAATAGAAAATAATGATTTACCCTTCAGACTGAAGATCAATGAATACAAGTTCCTCTTCAACGAGTACTACTAGGGTGTGTGGCTCATCAAATTCTACAAGAAAACAAAACACAAATTTACATTACAGTAATATATAAAAGCACTTAAAGACCAATTAAAATGATGCATTTTGAGTTGCTGATAATTATCACCTTGGTAATAATATATCCTGTTATTTATCACCATCATATTTTACACAAAATAACAAAATGTGAAGGTTAATGTTGAAGTGATTTATAAAGTTGTGTGGAGATAAAATGTCAAAAGTTCAATGTTTCCCAGCCAGAATCCTAGATATGAAGCTGAGGACCTTAATAGCAAGGTGGTATTGTAAAAACCACTGTATTATACTTTAAGTATAAAAATAAGTATCTTATAGATGTATATTTTTTATTATATTTCTTTTATTCAACAGCAAATGCTTACTTAAAGGGGTTTTCTACAAAAAAAAAAAAAAAAAAAAAAAAACAACAAAATAAATTTGAAAATACAATCATACATCATGAAAAAAAAAAAAAAAATTCAATAGACAAGAAAAACATAGATATGATACAAAGAATATATGATACTATGTACCAGCATATCTCATGAAATTGAATATTGTTTTTTCATCTATGAATTATTCAATATCAGTGGTGGATCTAGAGGGGGTGAATAGGGTTGCTAGCCACCCCCCCCACCCCATTCGGTTACCGTAAAAAACATGTGTGTGTGCTTCTCGTGTATATACATGATACGTGCTGAGCAGAGAAAACATACACTTTCTATTTTAAGCTTATCTTCTTTTCAGATGTCTAGCCGTCTACTGATTCCAAAGAAGAACTCAAATGAAATGGACTCCCCCTCACAAAACCAACCTGACAACCCGCTCGGTGCTTCGCACCTCACATCCACCTCCATTGCTAAATCCTAGATCTGCCACTGAATATTCATATTAATGTTTTAATTAGCTCAAAATTTATCTACAGTATGTGTGAAACACATATTTACTACTTTATACATTAGAGGTAGCTTTTAAAGCTAAATTACATGGGATTAGAGTATGTGTACAGATAAAAATGAATTCAGAAAATAATTAAATAATTGCTCTGCAGGTAATAAAATATCATTAAATTTAATTGTGTGGCAAATTTAATTCTGGCTAGAAGGTTTACAAAATTGTAAAAATCGAGCTAATGTTGGTGAGAATTTTATTCATTAAGATAATGACAACAGGTATCGCTTGAGGGTTGCAGTAGCTGCAACTGGTACTTCAACATTTCTTTTGAAAACCATCAAACATAGGAAAAAAAATGTAAATACCAAGGATGTTTTATTTAGTTACTAGTAAAAATCTATAAATACTAAATCCAAGGTATACTTTTTTCTTATTTTTACATCTAAAGTCCTTTAAAGACTATCAAATTCTATTTGACATGTTACATGCCTAAACATGGTCATGATGACATCACATCATGACCATATATGGGAACATCATGACTATATATGGGCATACAATAGTTTTTGTCAATAAAAACTGAGCTTTACTATAGAATAAAGGTTGTAATTAAGGTAGCAAGCTCTTTTTTTCCTTAATTAGTACATTACCAAGGTGTACAGTACAGTAACATTCAAAGCTACATTTCATCGAAGACAAATTACAAGTCATTTTTCCATTAGTGCACATTTTCCTTGACATTTACTGATTTCCTGTTGGCTTACACTTTTACATTTCTATTTATGTTTCTGCCGTGAGCGCTGCATGTCTTTCGACTTCCGTTAGTTAAAGATAGAATCCAAATTAATAAATTGCCTCTTCGGTAGTGTTATAGAATACAAGTCTTTACTTTATCATTTTCTTTTACACCTGGCACTTGCGCAAATATTTTGATTAGCTGCCAGCATTTTGACGTACAAGTTAAGGTACAGAATGTACAGAATCTCTTGTATGCCCATATATAGTCATGATGTGCCTATATATGGTCATGATGTGATGTCATCATGACCATATTTAGGCATGTCATGTTTTTGTCCAATAAAATTTTATAGTCTGGACTGGGCTTAAAGTCAGACTCCGGAGGAAAAAAAATTTGTTGATATGTTGTAGCACTGATTAGAAAAATCAGTGCTACAATATATCAAAAATTTGTCTTCCTCCGGAGCCTGACTAACAGTGAAAGTGCCGATTTAATTGGTCATTTAATTAACATTTTTAACAATATTATGCTTCCTTGTTTTGACAATCACAATTTTCCTTGGAAATCATGTGCATTCTGATACTTCTGTACAATTCTTTGGTAAAATATATTTTAATTTCTGAGTGATTGTTAAGTTATGTTATTGTAATAGGTGTTGCCTTTGTTATCTGTTGATAACCGTTTTAAACTTTTGATTGACATCTCCTGCTCACTCTCGTTTACATTGTCGGATTCTTGAAAATTAAAAAAAATAAAAGTAAAAATCTCCTGAGCTGTTACTCCGCATATGCTGCTGAGCTTAATTGCTAGCTTACGACTGCATTTGTCACAAACAATATGCCTAGTAACCATATGCCTAGTAACCACAAATTATAATAATTCAAAAACATAAAGTGACTGGTCGATGATACTTTCAAAACCAGAGATTTAAGGCCATAACAATAAATGTTTCTAAGCAACCAAAAAATAGATCAATTTCATCATCTGCTTTCTATGATAAGTCTTGAGAAATGATAGTGGGCGTTTGAGAAGAAATTTTTTTCCTTGTTATTCTTAATTACCATATCTGACGCATCTTGGATTAAAATATAAGTCTGATATCTATATTGATCAGGTAATTAAACAGAGACTCTGAAAGGAGTGGCTGAAAATAGCTGTCGAAAATGAAACATAATTTCTTGATATGTATATCTCCATCAAATCTTACTCTCAAAATACTTAGCTAAATACAGTGAAGTCACTTCTTGATTTAATGTTGGAATTCAACTGACATTTCCAAGATTGTTTTATTTGAAAGCTCTATAAAACTAAATAACTGTAGAAAAATATAATAATATATTTAGTAGAAAATATTAAATTTAAAATCAAAAGAAAGATAATTACAATAATGGCATATCCGCAGTGGCAAGGTTAGTAAATTAGCATAATTAGATTTTTTAAAAGGATAGGGAGAGGGACAAACAAAAACTCCAAAAGCATTTAAAGTTCCAATTGTAATACAGGCCTACCAGTATGTCAAAGCATATTGGAGAGTGATTTATTGGCAGCTAGATTCCCAGCATATCTACAATTTAATAGGAGTTGATAACAGAAGCAGAACTGCAAAAATTAAATTCTCTGGAGTCATACTGGTTGGATTCGGACGTAAACTCAATTACATGGGTAATCTACTAATAACCTCGGGGCTAAATGCGACGGTCGTTCGGACGAGTAAAATAACAATCCATTTACCCATTAATTTGACGGAAGTTATGTATTACACATCTAGATGTGTATAAGAGACAGATTCTGAATAGTTCGTGGCCTGAGTGACGACCCCGTGTCAAATTAGCAATGTTTTCGCGGCAATTTCAATACTTCACACACGAATTTACGCTATTTCTGCTTACTTTTTATACAATTTACTCATTTCCTTGCGATTATTCTTACAAATTGACGCCGAATTATGATTAACCCAGCCGACCTAACTATCCTGACAACTTTTATATTGCTTCTCGACGACGGATTTGATCTAAACCAAGTTTTTCGACGAAGAAAGTACAGCAACGACGAAGACAACAACCAGCGTGGAAAGAAAGCTTGAGCAACAACGCGAAGAATCATGCAGCGTGGTCGCGACCTTCTTTTTGTCCAGTGCACTCTGACCCGGCGTTGTTTACAAATCTGAAGGGTCAAATAGTGACCTGGGCCTTGTTACGAGTGATTAATTACGCCTTGAGGCAAGGTGTAATTGAAATATCCAGTAAAAAAGGTGGGTTTTTGGGCCAGATGCTTTTCAAATTTTCTATACCCAGGGGCATTATTTAATTGCCGCACACGACCGCTCAGCTGGTGGTACCCAGTTAAATTTTACTTGTCCGAATCGGCCTACTGTCTATGAGCCCAACACTAAATACAGACATCCTCTAACCTTCCTCCCATGGCCAAATTGAAAACACAACACACAAAATTAGACATGTAACTTACCATACTCACTGTCGACATCCGACATAGTGAAAAAGTCGATGATACGTGATGTGAAATCAAAGACGACGTTTTTCTTTCCCTGCATCACCGTGACACAGTGACGGTCACCATAACTTGCTCGCGGCATGCCTCCCGAAAATATCAGAAATGGATCACTAAATCGACAAAATAGAAAAAAACGAACTAACTACTTTGGACCTAACTTTACAGTATTCAGTATAAAAAAAAACATAGTATATCACAAATAATGAAAAATGAAAAAGAATAGAAATAGTTTTATTTATATATTTTCTTTCATTTTCTATTATTAATGATGATGGGGTGATGAAGATGATAATGGGATGATGATGGTGAAAATGATGATGGTGAAAATGATGATGGTGAAGATGATAGTGGTAGTGACAATGATGATGGCTCTGATGGATCTGGTGATAATGATGATGGCTCTGATGGATGATGGTGATGATATCGTGTTGGTGATAACGGTGATGATGACGACAATGGTGACGATGATGATGATGACGATGGTGATGATGATGATAGATGATGATGGTGATGATTATGATGATAGTGATAAGACAATATTTAATTAGACTTGGAAGCTTACCTTTTTGTTGTTAAGTGCATGATGTTTCCAATAGACTTGCATGGGAATGGTCCTAAAAATGAACAAATTTTCAATAAAATAATATAGGTACATAACAAAAAGTTGTGAACTGTAGGTAGAGAAGTCTACGTGTATCTTGTAAGCTGAACTGTAATAGGAAGCTTTCGATTTGCACGATGACGTGAACGTAGCATCGATTCATCTACCGAGGACCCTGCTGCACTCTCTGCTCATTTATGCCAAATTACCTCCTAGAATTCAGACGACAATGATGTTACAACTTACAGTATATCATATATCCCATCCTACACCCTAACAAGTGCACAAACGTAACACTGAGCTTTATAAGGAAGACATGTTTACCATATGGTGTAGTTCGGTCCTTCTCGGGAGCCGTTGAATCATTGATGTTCCACACACAGTAACTGCCATCATGATGTGCAGTGGTGAATCGTACGCCATCCCGATGCCACGTCAATGTCTCCAGACACGGGTCACTTACGAATGTGCTGTCTGCGTTGAACTCTTTGCTGTCCCATACAACCATCAAACCTCGGTTGTAGCCAATCAGAAGCTGTAAAAGAACATAACAATATACCATGCAAACTAGAGTAAGTTAATCCTTGCTGAGCGATGGGACTCAAATCGGCTGGAGCTTATCCCCAGTTTCAAGTAGAATAAAGCAGATATTAGAGCGCGATGCTCCCCCTGGGTGGGATGGTGGTCTAACGCAGGTCACTCCCAGCAATTTGTTGGTACCCATTGATACAGCTGGGTAGACTGAAGCAATGTAGATAAAGTTCCTTGCTTAAGGACACAAGTGAAATGCAAGGACTGAAACCCCGACCTCAAGGTTAGGAAACCAAAAAATTTCCACTAAAATAACATCAAAACACCTATTTGAGAGCATCCAATTAAAATTATTTCACACAAAAATTACAGCATATCCTACAAATAAAAGAATGGAAATGTAATGGAACTATACTTCATTACACTTGAGAAGTGGAGATGTTCAAATGTGGACATCTTGCATTATTAAGCCCCTCTGTTGACAGCTTAAGCAAAGAGTATAGACTGCAAGAGGTCAGATTCTCTGGGTTTCATTGAAACGCAATCCTATCTCGAAAAGTACTACCATGAACTAGAGGGTGTCCTTCAAAAGAACGTAAAAGGCATTTGTATTGAACGTGTGCTGCATCTATAGAACACACGTTTGATTTTCAAACTCTATTTGAATTATAATAGGGTGCCCCTATCTTGTGGCAATACAGTACTTGTTTTTTTGTTTCATTGCATACATGCAAAATCAAGGCAGTCGGACCTCTTGCAGTTATGCAATCTTTAGTTTAAGCCAGTACTGGTCTAAGCCATAAGTGGGCACATATTGTCAAACAGTAAAAAGACATTTAATTATTTTTTTTTACTATTACCACACCTTCTAAAATGTCTTACCTTGTCAGGGCTGTTTGGATGATGTTGAATTGCCTCTACTGCGCCTGGGTTCACTTTGCAGTCGTCTGGTACGCTGAAGGAGGAGGAGGAATCACGTAGCCTAGTTAGAAAGGGTTAGATAAAAGTTGGAGAGCGAAGAAGCCAGGCAAGCTATGTGAATAGATATACTACAAAAGCATAGACAGGGCTCTCACCAAGAATGTTCCATTGTGCAATATTTGTGGCAATATTTTAAGCATCCCTTCTGAATAATACCTTACTAGCAAATTGGAAGAAAATGTCAAGCTGCAAGAATTAGTGCTTTGGAACCAATACCGTATACTCCCGTATAAGTTGATCCCCGAGATTTTTAGACAACTTTTTTATGTTAAACATACAAGATGATCACCCCCTTGTTTCATTGTCAGAATTCATATTCTAGCTGGCTAAAAACGGAGCCAAATGCAAGGCAAATCTTCCAAAGTAATACCATTTTGTTCATTAGTCTTTAAATGTTCCATCAAAATCTTTTTTCCCCATATTTAGAATGGCATTCACGTTTTAGTAGCTTCTTTGGATTAAAATCCAAAATTTGTATGTCGTGTGTATGTGAAGACCCACTGTTTTTCGGAGGTAATTTGCTATTTTTAGCCTTGTCTTATATGCGAGTATACACGGTAGCTAATGTGGTAGAAAAGTTGAGTTTGGAACCAATAGTTAATGCATGGTAGCATGGTGAAAACCCTACTGACTGTGCTATATACATGAAAAATTATAAAAATTATAGCCTGCTTGAGTAGTTAGCAATGTGATAATATATTGTATTTCATGCATTAGTGATGAAACTCTCAATAAAGTGAATGCAAAAATAGTAAAATTAATTGCATCTAATATAATTGACCAAGTAATTACAGTTATCTATTGATATGTTAATTTGAGGTAAATATCAACTAAACCAAGCCTGCCTTTTTAATAATTACAAGCAACTCATTATTTAATTTAATTCAATTATAGCTATCTTTGTATTTGTATGTATAAATTGAACTTTAACCCTTGAACCTACACTTTCTATTATATCTACTGACAGTGTATCATCTTGAAGTCTTAAAATTGATGTGTAAACATTCTAATGCAGTATGACAGAGGTTTAAAGGTTGCCAATGCTCGGCTCACAACATTATTCATTGTTCTTGCATGAATGTATATTTTACTTCCCTGCAACATTCGACCTTAAAGAACTATTTAACATGAGAATGTGTTTCTCTGGGGTAATACGTGCATATGACTCACAAATCACATCAGTACTAGAATCAGATAAGAATAACATACACGAGTAGGCAACGCATGTTCACCACACCCATATTATCACTAATGACTTCTATTGAGAATGGCTATCCTTTAATGTTCCAACCTTTAATGAACATGAGGGTATCAGAACACAAAAACAAACAAATGAGGGGCCTCTCTTAGCACACCTTGGGTCATTACATTCCTCTTTAGTGTCAGTTATATTATTATATTAACAATTATAAACTTTCAAATTTGTAGTTTTTATTATTTTTATTGTGTATTATATTGTAAAAGTGCGAGTGACAACTTCGTTTTAATCGGTGCTATAGAAATTTTAAAATCTATCTATTATTTTAACCTTAATATTCATAAATAAAATTCATCAAATTTTTATACAGTAGTTGCAATTGACAATTTCAGATATCTACAGCCGAATATAACTTATATCATCACAGTCCAACAATCTCTGAGCTGCTGTCCTTACAATCCATGTAAAAAGGTAAATGATTTGATTAGAGGTGTGGCATATACATCATATTAACGAAGATTGGATACAGTATTAGTGTAAAAGATGCCAGAAGCAAAAGGCAAGCTTTCAGTAATGGTGATTGCGTGCGAAGGCATGCCACGCAGTGGCAAGGCTCTCAGTAATCAAAAGGTCAAAGTTCAGAGTGCAGCTTAGCTCAGTTGGCTAAATGGGTGGTAGCTACTGTGTGTGCACTCAACCCTGGCTATCTGCAAGTTCCTGGTTCAATTCCCATTGCTGCTCTCCTTGTGTTTTCAGCTGGAGGGCTGAAATGCAAGTTACAATAGCACAGCATCTTTCGTATGAGACGTTTAGGCCATTGGTCCCATGTGCATTATGGCCCAGGTGCATGTTATATCTAACGCAGTACACTTTTTGGAAAAGAGTGGGGATTGTCTCTTGGTGTACTGCCAAATCATCCCTAGGACCACAACAATGGAAATAATTCTTCGGACTTTCGTGGATTATCCTTGCTCCCCAAGTACTATAGCAGAGATTTTTATTCTGGGACACTGACCATGGCACTAGTTGACCCCTTGCTTTGGACCCCGTAAATTTCTTGATCCACGACTGGTCAGGGTAAAAAAATTATCTACTCCTCAGAATAAAACACTTGATATATGTTGCCTGATATGTTTATTATAATGATGGCAATGATGCTAGGTATGCGATTGTTACAAGGAAGTTCAGGCCAGGAATAGCTTGCTTTATCTTAAATGTTTAGATGTTAATGAGCTTTGGGTATTGTCCATATGGCTGTGCATGGCTATCAATGAATGCAGGATATATCATGATCTAAAAACAATATGGTTTCTTTCACCAGGGAAGCTCAAAATTTATCACTACTTTTCACAGTATGATTTTACAACACTCTCATTAAATTAGTCAATTAATTTCCAAATTAAAATAATAATTCTATAATTTATTTTCTTTGTTTATATTCAATTCATTATTTGTCTCAACATCTTTTTTACATTACAAATATGATAATTTCATTAACCTTATTATCAAACAGCATTCGACATTCAAACTTACTTGAATGTTATCGGGTTTAAAATAAATTTTGTTACTCATTATTTAGGCCCATAGGCTAAGGATTGTTAATAGCAAACAGCTGGTCCTAAAGGAGCAATCATTTTCATATGAAAAACATACCCAAGATGTTGTACAGTACATAAATTAAATTTACCTATGGAAGTTGAGTTATTTTTCCTGTGAAAAATTATTTTCTTTTCACTTAGGAGTTGAACCCAGGCACCGGGGTTTGACGTCTGACAAGGTACTCTTCCACTGTACCTCAAATACCACTGATAACCAGTAGGGATATATAATTTTTTTTAAATGAAATCACTCCAAACAAGGATCGAAGGCTACTTCTAAGTAAGGGATTACTTAAGTACTATTTTATATGCCATGAAATGCTTGCACCTAGGGCTGAGACAAAGCCTGAGCCACTACAAAACCTATCAACAATGCAAGTTGAGGTATCTAAAGCATGGCACACTGAGATTGGGCAGCAGTGACTTAAACTCCTGACGACAAGTTCAACAACCAGATTGCAAACCACTGAGCCAAACCGCCTTCCCCTCATCCTGTGCCTTATCTAATGCAGGATGGAATAACTACATACTATGTGATGCTTAAAGTCTCCTTTTAGGAACTTGAATTAGGAAGTAGAGCTGCTTTTATACCATCAACATGCTGGGATGATATGATTTGAACCTGGAGCCATTGGATTAGAAGGTAGTGCACCTAACTACAAGATCCAAGAAGTAGACAACCTTATGTTCTACTGTGACTCATCATCAACCAACAACAACTTAAGCATTACCAGTACCATTAATAATCCACATTGACATTTCAAATATTATAATTCAAAATGATATTTAACTAATATTACAATGCCCACAAAAAGAAAAAAAAATAGAATAATAAATAGGCCATATTACAAGAATAATTTTAAATGCAGCCTACAGCATATATAGCCTAGATCAATTTCTATTACAATACCAATATCTCTATATTATACAAAGTCATAAGGTAAAAGTTAGGATGCAGAGCAGCAGTGATGACTCACTAGATACGTTACAAATTAGTTTATGTTTTAATTAAATGTGATAGTCAATCATGGAACTAGAGTGGACAATCAGGACTGATGTAATGAGGTAATGGCTGTAAATTGTTGTAACATGGAAGAAGTACTAATGTAGAATAAATTCCATTAATTTTGCTACTATGACCAATACTTTTAGATAATACCATATTCAGAGGAAGATCCAGAGATGTTCGAAAGGGGTGGGGGGAGACAAATCGTGAGACAACATTACCCTAGGGTTTTTGTTTCTAACTGTCCAATAAGGGGGAATTCAGCAGCCGGCCGGCCCGCCTCCCCCCTTAAATCCACCCGATATTGTGCAAAGGAAATGCTAATTTTCAGCACGTACAGTTTGTATGTTGTGGAGATGATAGCTTGGTGGTTAAGACAATTGCCTTCTAATCCCAGGGTCCTGGGTTCAAATCCTGTGACCGCCCAGGATTTTTTTCTCACGACTAAAATCACATCGCCACTCCCTAAGCCTCGCCATGAGACTTCACTGATAAATGCATCACATTATTTCAGTTATTTAAGGGAGCCCATGAATATTAACTGACCTAGGATACACACTGAAGGGTTACCTCTATAAATATATCATGGTTTTTAAAAAATGTAGAAGATAGCAATTAGGAACCTGAACCGTAAAGAAAAACAATAAAAAGAAAACGGCACTAGCATAGCAGTCCCCAGCGTAATCGGCAAGGCTCCCCAATATAACCAACCAACCAATCAGCATCACTGAAAGCTGTCGGCGATAGCATGTAGCAATTCTATGGAAACGAAGCTTCGCTCAAGCAAAATTATATGTGGAATTTAGAGTCAGCCTAAAAAATGAACGCAACATTTCGATCTTGTATGAAATATTTGTAATATAAAGATACAGTATATACTGTTGAATATTACCTGACACAAACTTATCTTACATTAGTCAATTGGACGACAACCAAAATACTGGTAAATCAATAGAATTTTAAAATAGCAACACTTATAAATATGCTAGTATACCAAATGAACAAACAACATCCCACACATGCACTTGTATTCTGAAAACTACCCTTTTACATACTACTCATTAAACTCTATCTACTAATTAAAATTCAGTGTATTGGCAACAGCTATCGAAATGGCTACGCTAACAACATAATCCATCACATACTGACATAAGAAAATGTGTAACCTTTATTCTGTTTTTTCTTTTTCCTTTCAGAAAATGCATAATTTGTCCTAATCAATGCTTCTTCATGCAACCTATTGACCATATTATTCATCTTACTAATTAAAATTCAGTATATTGGCAACACACCTTGCAAATGCTACTAAGCACATAATTTACCACACACTGGCACTTTGCATTTATCAAGCCTTTAGTTGCAGGTATTTCTATAAAATGCTCAAAGTACTGTTGTGGATGAGAGCATATAAAATGACACATTCTAATACAGTATTTATTTTTATTATCTTTTTATTTCAGAATCAGAATTGACATTTTCAGCAAAGCAATTATAATATTTTAATCTTTTCTAATTATAATTGATAAATTCTTTTTTTATCTGATTTATATTTATTTGCTGTTTTATTATTAGTATAATTTTATAGCAATACTGATGAAATGTTTAATTTCAGGCCAAATTAAGAGGATGAGGCTGCTTTTATCTGCACAAAAATGACCACCAATTCTGCAGGATTTTCAGGGATGTTTTAGATTATAACATTTTTTTTAAATGCTACAGCCAACAGAGAGATGAGAAATGACATTTGGTAGCGTTTCCATATCAGCCTTCCAATTATTATTACTGTACAAAATATTATCGATTTTTCCTACTGTGAGAGCATTATGCAAAAAAGCAGAAACCTTTTATTAACTTTATAATAACATTCTACATAATGATTGTGTGACTCAACCATGTGATGGTAAACATGAGAAATTTGCATGCAGAGAAAAAAATCTCATTGTATTTGGAAAATAAATTAAAATTTTGTTCTATTCCACTTTTTGTTTCTAGGTTAAAAATAGCAAATTATTAGGCCATATAAAAATATACTTTGTTCAAAACTTTTGAGTTGGGAGAACTTTTTTATCCTAATTTTCATCGACATAAAACCAACTGGCAAGTCAAAAGGCTGAGCGGTTAAGGAGGGAGGGGGAGCCACAACCTACAAACATAATATCAGCGTTGCTTCGAGCAGAATGCTCACCTGGTTCTGGTAATGGAACAAGTCTTCTCGGACGAGTAGGAGGTTTACCCCAGTGTACTGGTCCACACACCCTGTAGTTATGGAGCATTAGGTCATTTACAGGATCTACCTACTTAAACGATGTACCATTACCTAGAATTAAAGCTGCCCCAATGTTGAATGAAAGTAATTCTACTGCAAACAGAACTTTCTAAGCTTAGCTTTCTGGCTTAGGTGTAGAGCACTAGTGTCACTACGACATGGTACCAGATGACATCACGTCATTACTGAGCATCTACCTACTGTACAGTTGCTATGGAAATAAGGCTTTTAAGCTTACAGGGTTATCCTCTTGCTCTCAATTCATTTTTTAATACTGGTTTGTCACTTTTGTTTTGCTTCTGAATAATTTTTATGATTGATGATAGCAACTTTAAACAAACAGTTGAGTATCTCCATAGTTTTCATAGCATTTTTGAGATACTACTCTCAAAGCACATTGTTTAACAGTGGACTATGTTTAGGGCAATTTTGATGTAGTTTCTAAGAGCATGAGGAACTATAGGGACACTCAGCTGATTGATCTTTTTAGATCTACTGCCTCTATTACACTGCCCTCATGAGGCTGATTGATTAATAGATCTTTTTTAGATCTACTGCCTCTATTACACTGCCCTCCTCAGAGCTTTCGTGATTACGAAAACTTGCTTAACTGATGTATCAGAACCTAATAATTTCCAATGAAAATGTTAATTATCAGATGCATAATTCATTAATAATAGAAGTTACAAGTGAAGGCACAAGTACAACTACAATGTTGTGAAACTATGTTAGATTATGAGCTAGTGTACAGGAAGCCCTCAGCTGCATCGACCACTTGGCTAGCATTTCTTGGTAACGAACAAGGATGTCACATCATGAGTGACTAATTAATTGATTAGTGACATTTGTGCTATGTTTGGTATAATTATTATCATTTTAATTATTTGCCATGAGAAAATGTTGTGAATTTGAAAGGTTAGAAATTATACTAATTATTGCCTATCACCATGGTTACTTACTTTTGCATGACCACATCCTGGTAGATAATGTGATCCGTGAGGTCAAAGGTGACTACATCCAATATGTAGATATTGCCGCCTTCAGTTCCTAAGTATAGTGTCTTATGATCTGCTGATAAACAACATACTGTAATCTTCTTCAGTCTAAGGAAATAAGAAAAAAAAAATACAGCCATTAGATTGTTTAATTTTTCTTGTTTAAAATAAATACCCGTCAAGTATGGTTATAATTTTAGCTAAATCTAAAAAAGAGGACAAATTCTTGATAAAAGATATAACATTAAATGCTGTTAATATTCTACTAGGCTTTCTAGAAGTGGGACTGTCCTTTAGAAAAAAAAATTGTGCTACATATTAATTTATTAACAAATCTAATTTAACACTATAACCAAAGAGTATAAATAGAACAAGAGAGCAAAGTCCCGTTCGTAAAAACGTCATGCCTGTGTAGGACGCCAACTAACGGTTGTATATTCTTTTTATTACCCAGTGCAGCGCTGCGCAGCGCGGTAGAAGTACGCCCGCTATAAACTCAGTAAGCAGAAAACAAAAGCATAGTATCTTGTGGAGAACAGATAAACAGACAAACCTACAGTGCGCGGTGCAGTACTGGGTAATAAAACATATACAAGCGTTAGTTGGCGTCCTACACTATCTGCGTAGAGCGTATCGTTTTTTTACGCTCCCAATGAGCGTTGTTGGCTCTCTTGTTCTATTTATACTCTTTGCTATAACTTAAAAGTCTATTAAAAGAGTATGAAAAGCAAAAACAATTGTTTCATTGTACTTTGTATTTAATTTTTTTAGTAGTCATATTTTAACTTATTTTTATCATTATCTCAAATCTAGACAAGATGTAAAATGGCTCATGTTTCAGTGGAGGACAAAAAGTAAACAATTAGTAGATTGATAATTTATCATAACTTTTATTTAACATAATACTTCACTTCTTAAAAATACCAAATCAAATATCAAATCTTTTAATATTATTTCTAATATGTAGCCATTTCTTCTGTTTTACTTATCTACCTTTATTTTTAATGTTATGGATCCATCTTATCCAATTTTAACAATATTTCTTTAATTTTTTAAATTTTTATGATTGAGATTTTACTTTATTTTATCTGGTTTCTGTATGTTACTTGTGTTTGTGAATGTGATTGTTGTCTTTTTTGTACTGGGCCATATGGGAGGACAGGTTCCCCAGTATAAAGAATGAAGAAATAAATAATAATAAAACAGCAAACAACCAAAACAAACAGATAAACATGAACTAATGTTTGCAATATGAAACTATGTAAAATATTATTATGAGATTCGACTTTCGGCCACAGTTATAATTTTGAGAAAATGATGGTGAATTCGTAAGGGTAGTGACAGAAGATGTTAAAAAGCAATTAGCAAAAGACAAAGTTATACAATACTAAACTCAAGCAATGCACCAAACCAAATTTACAATACAAAATTGAGGAAAGGAAAAAAATTAAACATAAAATCTGTCAATAATACAAATAATACTCAGCTTTATCATACAAATAGTTCATAATAGTGTGTAGGCCTACTGTATCTATGTTAAATTTATTTTTTAAAAAAGCTTTAAAAATAAGGATTGTAACTGTACAAAATTGTGAAATGGCTTTCAGAGGCCAATCAAAATTTACACCTTACGTTACTTTACTGTATATACCACTGACAAAATCTTCCTATTTTTACGTTTCCAAAAAAAAATTACTTAAAATGGTTATAAAGTTTAAAAATAGGGTGTTTGTTTAAGATGGACTACACTAAGCAATGATTTTTTAATATTTATTTTTTCCTAATTGCAAATAGTTTGAGAAAATAATATTAATCTGTCCAAAAATACATTATAGCAAAAAAGCAATACAGGGTAGAAACAGGATTGTAGTACGTGCAACTCTGTCAACCGCAAGACAATAGTGTATTGTGAAATAACCTTTGGAGGAAAAGAACCAAATTTACACTGACAGGCCTTTACTATGACAAAATCTTCCTATATTTATTTATTTAAATGGTCATAAAGTTAAATAAGGATGTTCGTTTGAAATGAACTATGCTGAGCGATGATTTTCATATTTATTCTTTCATACAGGAATCCCAAAAAAGTTTGGGAAAATAATATTACACTGTCCAAAATGCATTACTCTGACTGTGGTAATTTGCCAGCACGAAGGAACAGAGGTATTGTTATCAGCTACTGTAGTTAGCAAGGATAGTAAAGAATTAAATAAAAAACTGGCATTTTACATTATTTTTCATTAATCTGTAAGGTATTTCTAATGAATACTATAAGCAGTAACACCACATCACAACATGCCACCACCAACCACGAAGCTCAACACCCTGACCACGTATAAACTACAGAAGAACCAACATCTAACCATGGAGGTATAAGATAGATACATCCATGATCTAACAGACACCCCCCTTCCCACCCCCACCATTTTAACCATCAAAAGATAAAAGAGTTAGGTTACATACGCCGGCTCCTCCTTAGCTCTGTCAGGGGTAAACAATGAAAAGATAATGGGTTCAGTAAAAACAATTTATTGTGTTTGGTGAATGGGGGAGGGAGAAGGGGGAAGGTTTGGAGATATACAATAGACACAACATATAATGGTTTTTTACCATCATACACAATAATTTACTTTCTACAATTTATGATACATACTATAATCAATATTGAGTTAACGGCCCTTTTCAATAAAATTCCATGATTGAATTTTTATTTGTATTAATATTTTAAATTTTAAAGATGCATCAATAATTATAAAAATAAACTTAGGGAAACCTCTGAATGTCTGAACGCCTTTATTTAAAGGAAATTCGAGAAGATATTAATTTGTTTGAACAAAGCCGAATTGGATTATAACTTTCTATGCAATTATACAAATCCTGTTTTATTTAAATACTATAGCCTTAAATTGCATGTTAAAACCAGTTATATATCTGGCTTTTGAATGGAGTGATTATTTAATGAGTATAAATAATTTTCATAGTAAAACTTTGTAAATCATTCAAAAATACTTGTTGTGATGTGTTTTATTTGAAATTAACATATATTATCCCCTTAAAGTCAATGAGCAAATACAATGTGGTTGGTTTTTCCAACTTTACTAGACTACTGTTGTACTTGTAGTGTAAAGCTCTTCCTTGATAGCTATCGAAACCACAAATTACTTTCTATTCAAAGTTTCAAATATATCCAGAAACATCACTTGCTTTGTTGTTATTGAAATAAAAACAATTTTTAAAAAGTACTGTAAATAAATTCACAGCAAATTGCAATTCAATAACATACTTAACATTATCATTACATACTTAATTTTATAAAAACAAAAAGTGGTTAGTAAAGTTAATTATTAGATGACTTAAAATAATTCATTAATTCAACATATTAATTGTAGGCTTATTTAATCTTATCAATGTTATTATTATTATTATTATTATTAATGTTGTTCTTATGAATGACAGTTTTAAATGACTCAATTTACTTAGCATCTTAACTGTTGGCTTATTTAATTCTATTAATGTTATTGTCATTATTATTATTATTACTAATTTGATTGGTGGGTGGGCAATAATGTTATGTTATGTTATCTGTAAATCTCTCATAATTAAGAATTTAATTTTTTTATTTCTGTTGCTTTGTTCTTTTCTGGATGCACCGTTAGAATTTGTCTAACGTGTGCCACTGTTATAAAAGTGTTATCCAATAAATATTGTATTGTATTGTATTGTACTAATGTTATTCTTATGAACTATAGTATTAGGTAACAGTTAAAAAACTTATTTATTTTGCATCTTTATTGTAGGCTTACTGGTATTTAATCCTATTAATATAATAATAATAATTATTATTATTATTTATTTTTGTTTTGTTTTGTTTTTTCTTATGAATTATACTATTATTATTAAAGTAAGTAGATAAGGATTTATGTTTTCTGTACTGTATCCTGGGCACATAATGATAACAGTTGGTTTTTCAACTGAGTTGTTAACCCAGGGTAAATAAGAAATAAATAAAATAAATAATATAGTACAGGTATTAATCTAATAAAAAAAGTTAATATTTAAAAATAATAAGTCATATATTATATATTTTTTTTAAATAAGGAACCATACCAAGAAAGAGAATTAACAAATTAAATAAGAAATAAATATAATTAATTAAATAATAAAATATATTAAATATTAATGACTGCCAAAAAATGATTACCAATTACAAGAAGAATAAATGAAAGCAATATAAATATGGTTTACCTTCCTTCGAGACAAAAGCTTTTCATCTCCTCTAATAAAGAGTTGCCATCACGGATGTTCACCTCCCAAAGGTGGAGCGTGTTATCGTCACACAGGGAGATCAAACGACCCTATAGAGTACAGGTAATCACAATAATCACAAATTAATTCTAATAAATATCATCAATTATGAATTATAATTCCAAGTTTTAAATGTTACTTCAGTGAGATCTGTTTTAATGACTACTTTAACACACTTTATGTTTTTTTTTTTTTACATTTGTTGTGTTCTAATGGGGAAAATCCCAAGAGTAATTGGAAATCTTATGTTCGAATGTATACATTTTTTGTAATAATTATTATCTGTTTGCTTAAACAGGAGTTTGCAAGACAGTGTAGTGTGCTGACTTCTGGGACAATTGAAACTACTTCTGTAACAGATTCATGGTCATTTTTGTAATGTGATTTTGAATTTCATTTCTTTAAATATTTTTTAAGTTCATTTACTGTTATCTGGGTAAACTGGTTACCCAGTAAAAAGAAGAAAAAAATTAAATTATCTTACCTGATTTGGTAAAAAGAAAAGCTTATTAACAGTTGCGTCATTATTACTTTTCCCAACAAATTCAACTCCTGGAGCACCAAAACTAGATGTCAGAGGTCAAGGTTAATAGTTCAAAAATGAAAATATAACTTAAGAGCAGCTGTGTGCTATAGCATAAAAAGCCATTATTAAAACGAACACAGAAAAAGCTCAATAATTTACAATTAACATAATTATTAACAGGTCAGTAAATTTCCATGCTGAATTATGCAATTATATAAACCAGAAATGATTTGTAAGATCCACAATTAATAGCCATTGTTTAACAACATTCGCAAATATACGGCGTAAATGAAGAAGGTTACAGAAAGGGCAGTGGGCGTGTATAATACCACAAACAAAAGTGTGAATTTATACGGCAAACAAAAATGGAAAAACATCTACGTGAACAACTGGATTGTGGGGATACTGTGGCAGGCATCAATTTATCGATAGTTTCTCCATTTATGAATGGAAATTCCAAGCATATCTCTCTATTCTTTACTTGACACAATCGATACAACAGATATAACAGAAAAATATCTACAAATCAGCATTCCACGTTTCATTTTAACAATATTGGAAATAGTAGGTTGTGCTGTCATTAGGTCTATAAACTTGCTTTGCTTTTGTATTCAATATATTTTATAGACAAATGAAATAGCACTGCAATAAAAATACAGTAATATAATCCATTTAATAATAAATATCTATAATATCTGGCAACAGTAGGAGGAGGGTATAATTAACCCAAGGACCTAAACCTAAGTACCTGTACATATACTATAATAAACTTGGGTACTTGGCTATAGGAAACTTTGTCTTATTTACAGTTGGTGAACATATTATCGGTTAAGGTCAAAGTTACCATACAGGAGAGTCCAAATGAGGAGTATTTTCAGAAGTGTATGCATCAGAATCAGTGTTGAAAATATCTGGCAACAGAAGGGGGATGGGAGGAAAAGGAGGGATTATAACAAATCCAAGTCAGCAACGAAGTATACCATATTCTCGGTGATTAAGTTGGGTACTTGGGTATTTATAGTTGGTGAACTTCTGTTGAACCAATGAGATAGGCTGTTATAAAACATCTCATCGTCTACAAATCATTTCATATTGATTGTAAATTTTTTACACAAATTATTCTCACTTTCACGGTTGATGGAATTCATAATTCCACTGAGAATTTAACACTTTCTTACTCTTTCTCTAATGTATATAGATGACAATTTATTTTCCATCGCAAACATGATTGGAAATGCCGTCAACACTTGATTAACTATGCAAAAGGATTATTGGTCATCATCAAAGGTAGAACACAGTACAGTTTAAATGTTGAGTATTTAATGGCCAACTGCAATTAAAAAATGTACACATTAGAATCTACATATTAATCCTGGTTCATTTTCAATAATAGCAAATTGTGACTAACTTGAAACATTATTCTCATGTTCCAAAACTTTATTAACGTATAACTTTTTACATTGACTTAATAAAGGCAAAAACACATTGACTTCTAAACTCTATAATCATGTGTCAGTCACCAAAACCAACCAATATTTTCTCCTTAGGGGCAAAGTACTCTCTATCATTATAAACAGAAAGAACATTGTATGGGATAGACAGCTCAAAGCAAGTATGAATTTCACATTTATTTTTAAATGTACTATACTGTAATATAATAGTAGATAGTCCTTGTTGAGAACCCGTATGGGACACATTATAACATTATGGATTCTACATTTAAAAAAAATATACTGTCATGTACACGTAATCTAATTTATAAAAGGTAATCATGTACCAGATATACTGTAGATCCAAGCACTGATTATGTATTACTAAAGAACAAACAACTTAACATCCTATCTGAAGGACATAGAAATTTGAGGAGGACCCCATACTAAGGAAAGAAAGCAGAAACAGCATCAGTAGGTTTGGAAAGAGATAGTCCTTTTACCATTCCACTAAATCGTTCTCTGCTAAGATTTAAATAATAGGTATCTACTGTAGGGTCCATTAGAAATACTCTGGAAGAGGAGTTTAGGTGAGTAATGTAGTGCAATCGCTTGCCTCAAATCACAAGCCTTGATTGAGGCAGTAGAAACAGGGCTTATAAAAACAAAACTAATTCTTGATATTGTGCTGTGGAACTATTCTTTGGCACCGAATCAACTTGGGTCTAGTAGCAGGCTAAGATTAGAACATTTCTTGTGGCTATACTGTATTTACATACCGTATAATACATGTTTCTCATCTAATGAGAAAATAGTTCTAGACAGCCATTGTCAAAGTAACCTAAATTAAATTATCCTTTAAGCCATCCCAAACCTTTCAAAATAATGGGCAGACTGTACTTAGTTGCTTTAGCAACTAATTGTAAGCAGGACAATAAAAATGGATGTATTTATTTAGTAAATGTTCACCCTGGGTCTTTTCAGAAATAAACATTATTATCTCAGTTTTCAAGTGTTGTAAATATTTATGTTTCTTCTTATTATTAATACAATTCAAAGAAAGGTCGATATTACACCTCCTGGAAGGTACTACTAATGTATATACGAGAATACACAGTGGTATTTCCAACATAAAATTAGCTGCCTTGGTAATTACAACAGTTCAGTGCTCTATGTGAATTTCACTGTACTTGCTGGCATTATTTTTGTATTGTGTTTTTATAGCGCTTCTACCTGGTAATCGTTACGACAGGCCACTGGAAACAGACAATGGTTTTACCGGTTATAATTGTTGATTCGTAAACGAATTTATATGATAAACTAGATTTCAAGTTATTTAAACAGTTTGGTGTAAAACAGCTATTAATTGTAATAATAAAATTTAGAGAATGTTTTAAGATTGTTCATCTGGCTGTAAAAGATTTATTCATGCTGAGATGAGTTGACAGACATATTCTTAGTAAGTTGACCTGGACATACTAAAGTAGAGGTTTCATATTTTCTGACATCTTATTATATGACAGAGGTACTGTACATAACTTCAAATTGAAATCAAATTAATCTTTAATACTTTGCAAACTACAGTATGTAGCCTCGATCAACTATGTACAGCACAGTACAACGTAAAATTAACCCAGTACAGGTACATAGAGTTGAGTACCAATCAATTGTTCATTAGTGTGCAATTGTTCATTAGTGTGCAATTTACTAATATTGAGAATCTTAATTGGGAGGAATGAATCTGTCTGCTGGCCAATTCAACTGTATGTAAACATGATCTACATTAATGTAAACTATTTTATAGTTGCGTGGCAACACCGTTGAAGAAGTGGCATGTAAAACTATTTAATTTTTTCCATGTTATTGTTAAATTTTTTTTTTGTATTAGTGAGAAATTCACTAAACATGTCTTTTAAAAGTACTGTACCCAAAACAAGAGGCTACAATATGTATAATTTGCGACTGAATCTATTTGGATGATCCCTATTCTTCAGTAATAAATAGTAAAATGACAGGTAGCACTTTGTTTTAATACTTTTTTTGGCACAAAGAAGTATTAAACCTAATAGAGTAACACAAATCAATAGTGTACCAGCATTTTACTTTAAAGTGGGGTAAAAAACTACAATCTGTGATGATGAGGAGGGATCATACTGAGATTCTTTTATAATGTAAGAGATATTCAATATTTTATTTGACCTGTGACCTATTAATCACTCAATCCACAATAAGTCCACAAATGAGAGGCTCAATTCCATTCACTTTCAAATGAACTATTAATAATTATAAATGACACATGATGACGACAAGCACAGTTCGTTGAGTAAGCAATGCCAGTATTTCAGTATGAAAATCAGCCACCCCCCTCCACGGTAATATGCCACTGTATGGAAGTGTAATTCAAAATGATTTTTAAGTGATTTTGTCATGGATTAATATGGGAATTTGTTGTACATATTTTTTTCTTTGTCAATCTAAAATGCAGTTAGTTTGACTTGTACAATTTTTCCTTGCATGCTTTGTAATTTCTTTGTTTTATTGGAAATAATAAATTTTACTTTGTATGCCTATAATAATAAAAGAGGATCTTCATGAAATCAGAGATCCTATGATAAAATGAACTTTGTCTTCAGTTAAATGACATAGGAAGTCTGCGAGTGATATACTAGCATTGCTGAATACTAGGCACGGTGATAAATCAAAATCTGGTTGCTTGTAACATTCCACATCAACTTGAAGCCCAAAAGCCCATCATATCATCCATAAAACACTTCAAGAATGATTTCTCTTGGCAATCAATTTTTAAATATTGCTATAAAAATAAAGCATATGATCACTGTTTGTATTATTACTCTCTAAAACCTTTCTAAACATTGTAAAAATTCTTTTTCATGGGCAATGAACATGACTAACTGTGGTTAAATTCTTCACAACATCAGTAGCCTGATGTGACCTCCAAGGTCAAGTAAACCACAATTCCATATTAAACTGTAACCATTTCCATGATGATGACCGATTAAACAGCGGTGGCGCCAGGATTTGGCCGATTGAGGGTCCGAACTTCCCAGCGGGGGAGAGCCAATGTCCCAGACGAGAGCAAAGTAGGTGTGGTTTGGGCGTCGCTAAAAATATTTACAAAATTTTGACAATTTAGGGGTTTCAAAGCTTTATTTAATCGTTTTTATGGTCTACGAATATGTAGAAATACATAATTTTTTTTCCCTTCCCGTCGAATTGTGATTTTTTTTTCTCTAACAGGGGGCTCAGCCCTGACACCCCCTAGTACCAACCCCCCTGGTACCAACCCCCCTGGTACCACCACCCCTGCGATTAAAATCTATTAAGAGCAGAATCTTCATATTAACTTATTTGTTTGATTGTAAGAATTATTAAAATATAATCCATTGATGTGTACATTATTTGAAATTATTCTAATTATTGTTTCATAAGTACAAACAGATGAACAATTCTCCTTGACTTGAGTCATTTATAGTGACCACATAAAACACTTCCTGTGATGATTTGAGAATGCAGAATGGTTTCCTGCTGGAGTAGAAATAGGGATGTGGTGACTGGTGTTCAGGAAGGTGTGTTCTTTGACACTATACTG